AGAGAGGCACATCTGTCATCCCAGGAGGAGGTTTCCTCTCAGCATGTGCACTCTCAAGTCAGAGAGAAGGGGCACTATTCCCTGTACTTCCTGATTCCCAAGAAGACAGGAGAATTCAGGCCCATTCTGGATCTTCAATGCCTGAACCAGCACATTGCATGCAAGAAGTTCCATATGTTAACTATGAAACAGTTACTGAGACTGGTGCAGCCAGGCGATTGGTTCACAGCCATCGACCTGAAGAACGCTTACTTTCATGGCGAAATTGCTCCAAGAGCACAGAAAGTATTTGCGTTTTACCTTCCAGGGGGTAGCCTACGAGTACAACAGACTGCCGTTCGGCTACTCCCTATCCCCACGCACGTTCAGCCACGACGCTGCAACCGCTGCGGGACCATGGCATGAGGGACGACCTCATAGTTATGGCCAGGTCCAGGGAATGGGCAATACTGCACACAGCCCAATTGATCCTACACCTAACCAAGTTGGGTTGAAAAAGAAGTTGCGGTCAATTGGAAGAAGAGCTCCCCCATACCTCACCAGCAGGTAGAATATCTGGGGGTGATGCTCGATGCAGGCAGACTACGTGTCACCCTGACAGAAAGCAGACAGGCATCCCTGCTGCGGGCAGTCTGCAGGCTGCGTCAGGGGGCGACGGTGACAGCTTTGATCAGCATTCAGACTTTGGGTCTCATGACGGCTGCTCACTCCGTAGTGCCACTCGGACTACTGCATGCACGTTGCATGCAGAGGTGGTTTACTGGCCTTCGTTTAGATCTTAAGACACAAACGACGTCTGGTGGCCATCCCCCCCCCTCAGTAGAGAGCAACCTCCGATTCTGGGGGTCCCCAGAGAATCTGCGGAGGGGAGCTCCACTGGGGCAGGTAACCTCCTATATCACAGTCTTCACAGACGCTTCAAAGAAAAAGAAAGTGACAGGATGGGGGGGGGGACGTGTCTAGAAAGGGCTGTGGGTGGTTGCTGGCCTCTGGCGGCACAGCAACCTCCTGGAGCTGCAAGCAGTGATGTTGGTCCTACAGCACTGCAAACCCTTAATACAGGGCAAACATGTGCTAGTAAGGAGCGACAACCGCACCACAGTGGCGTACATCAACAGGCAGGGCGGAGTCCGCTCAATAGCCTGGTTGACCGCAGCAGAGAACCTGTGGCTGTGGGTTTCACAGATTGTGTTGTCTCTAAGGGCCCTGCACATCCCGGGACGGGAGAACAGGGGGGCCGACCTCATGTCAAGAGGCGGACCCCTGCCAGACGAGTGGAGGCTTCACCCGGAGGTGGTGAAGCAGGTCTGGACTCAGTTCGGTAGAGCAGAGGTGGACCTGTTCGCCAATCGGCGCAACAGTCACTGTGCCCTGTGGTTCTCCCTGGCTCGGTGGGACAACCCGCCCTTGGGGGTCGACACATTTGCACACGAGCCATGGCCAAGAAAGCTGCTTTACGCCTTTCCACCGCTGCACCTTATCCCCCCCCTCCTGGAGAGGGTGAGGCGGGAACAGCTGTCAATCATCCTGGTGGCCCCAGATCGCCGCCTGGCGCCGTGGTAACGCGGGGGTAACACAGATGATGGTGGGCCAGCCCTGGGCGATTCCTCACGTCTGGGGAGCGCTGTCTCAGGAAGCAGGTGCAATAGGGGCGTTACCCACTCTGGGCCAACCTCTCCAGGCTTGGCTCCTGAGAGGGACAGGCTGAGACAGGTGGGGCTGTCTGATAACGTTATTCAGACTATCCAAGCAGCAAGAGCAGAATCCACCACAGCTTGTTACAGGCCAAAGTGGGCGGGATTCCGGCGATGGTGTGAAGGAAGGAGTCGAGAGCCTCTGTTGTGCACGCTGGGCTCTATTCTTACCTACTTACAGATACTGGTGGACAGGGGGCTGGCTCATTCCACAATTAAGGTGTATGCAGCAGCCATTTCGTCCTGCCATGAGGGATTTGGAGGCAGGTCAGCCTTCAGTCAGCCGCTTATGGCACGGTTTTTGCAGGGGGTCAGGAGGCAGCGCCCAGTAGTGCACGCCTCCGCCCCGCAGTGGGACCTGCCGTTGGTGCTCGAGGCTCTGGTCACAGAACCATTTGAGCCTCTGGAGCTCTCCTCCCTGAAAGCACTGTCATGGAAGACAGCATTGCTACTTGCCTTGACTTCGGCTAAAAGAGTGTCCGAGCTGACCGCTCTGTCGGTACACCCAAGTTGTCTTTTGATCCGGGGTGACCGTAGCGGGGCGACACTCAGGCCGAAACCCTCCTTTACTCCTAAGAGTATCAGAAGTTCATTCAGATCAAGGGCTATTCAGTTAGGTGGCTTTAATCTTCCACCCCATATTGGGGCCAGGGAGGCTAAATTGCACCTCCTCTGCCCAGTGCGTGCGCTAGCATGCTATGTAGAGAGCACGGCTGCCATTAGGCGCACTGAACAACTGTTTGTGTGCTTTGGGGATGGTGTGGCTGGAAAAGCCCTCTCAAAGAAGCGCCTAACAGGATGGCTATGCAGGTGCATTACACATGCCTATGGACGGGTGGGGAGAGCCCTCCCCACTGGGGTCCGTGCACATTCTACACGGGCTGTGGCTGTGTCAACAGCCTTATTCAGCGGCGTGAGTGTAGAAGATATATGCACGGCGGCGTCTTGGTCTACGCCAGGCCCCTTCATAAAATGTTATCTCCTGGACATGTCTGGCTCCTTCTCGTCGTCGGTGCTTGCCGAGGCAACGCATGACTGGTGAGAGGGGGGTGGCTGTGGGTCAGCAGGTATCTGACCCCCCCCCCCTGGACATAAAGCACTTCTGTTTTTCCCATGCTCCTGAGGGACTCGGGAGACATGGTGCGCAATCAGCCCCATACAGGGCCTATGGGCAGGCGGGGAGAGCCTTCCTCACTATTGTCCATGCCCACTATTGTCCATGCCCACTCTACACGGAGCGTGTGTGAGTGTGGGGGATGTGGTGCACTTATGTTTTCCCATGCTCCTGAGGGACCTGGGGAACATGGTGCGCGGTAGGCTCCAGACGGAGTCTCCGCACAGTTTTTTCCATGCACACTCTACACGAGGTAAGCGTGTGTGAGTGTGCCTTATCCAAGTTGCGGCCCCGACTTCTCCACGGTTACAACCGGATGGGAGGAAGTGGGGATGCAGTGGATGTTAGCCAAAAGCCGGTCAGGGACGGTGTGGTGGGTCGATGTTGTTGGACGACAGGGCGTTTATACATCGGGGCTCCGCCCACTGTACCCATAGAGTCCAGTAGAGGGCGGAGCCTGTGTGAGATATAACGGGGGGTTACGTATTGTAACCCTAGTTATATAAACACAGGCGGAGCCCTCTACCTGGGGGCCCTGTCTTTCCTAGTCCGCTCGCTGAAGAGTGTATAGGATAGTGGGGCGGCGGGTGTAGCCGCCTTATATACTGTGGGCCTGCGCGCGCATTCAGGTAGGCTCGCCCCGATTGGCCGGCTACGTTTACGTAAATTCAGTAGGTGAAAGCACGCACAGCATGATAGAGAGTAGTACCCATAGAGTCCAGTAGAGGGCTCCGCCTGTGTTTATATAACTAGGGTTACAATACGTAACCCCCCGTTTCTTTTCAAAATTAAGTTTATAGCTAATTTTAATGCATACTTTGAAACTAAATAAATATATCTAGCAAGTGGCACAATATTGCTCCTGAAAGCGTAAAAAAACGTAATGTATTTGTTTTCCTATAATATCAACTCTTGCAATACAATATCCACTCATTATTCAACTTTTGTGTGGTTTTGTTTAGGCACTTATAGCACTCTTAGAGAGATAATGATCCACTTTCCTGGAAAATATGTTCACTTACATACAATCCTGGCAGAAATGATGTACCTGGAACAACACATTAGTTATATAAATTGCAAGTGTAGGAGACAGCTTGCAGATCATTACTGAAATAACGATTATTTGTGTAATTCCCATCCCATATAACTTTCATTGTTGGATAGCATCTATATGTACAGTGAAGTGCATGTGCCATTTTTACTTTATTTGTTCTGTATTTCTTTCGGCTTCTAATATATAAGGTATTTATTTCAGACAAACACTTATTTCATGCAGTTTATTGATCACCTTAAGTCAATGTACCTGGGCATAATTGAAGCTATACCCCAGAAGTACACAAAGTGGTTTCACATAATGCATTCATTCAACCAAGTATAAGTTGTTTTTACCAGCGATGTAAGTCTGGTAATTTAATACTCTTGGTACAGTCTAGTCTCTAGTCTATTTCCCTACTTCCTATGCAGCTACACCATGATTAAACCATAATATCTTACTTAACATTTTGCTTATGTCTCACCTTACAATGTTAACCATATATTTAAAATTGGGACAGTAATACTGGGAGATAACATCATTTCCTTCATCCAAAACTGATCCAAAACTGTTGTATGTGTACGTCATTTTTGTGGTAAACAGGGCTGCTTGGTAAACAATGAACATGTCATGACATTAAATACTCAAAGCACACTGATTATAGCTAGAGTACTCATTACATTACTTTCCATTAAACACATTATCTCACGCTAGTCCGATCCTAAAGCACTGTTCACTTAAAACAACTAAACTTAGATGACTCCTGAATGTAGTGTTACCAGACAGTTTTGAGTTCTTTATAACCTGTGAAAATACCAACCAAATACATAAAAATATCTTGTATAATGTTGTAATGTGACTAATTATCTCAAATATCCCTTTAAAATCTGCAGCCAGAAGAATTCAGAAATTTGCAGCACACTAAATTGCTCTTTTACAATTCATTGATAATGCCATCCATTCTTTCACTGTAACTCTAACCTGTTTACCAAGAGCTGATCCTTTTCATTAAATTATTTACTGTCAATGGTCTCTTTTTTTACTGCCTTGTTTTCAGATTGTTATGTTCTGCAAAAATCCCGTTACAGACAGGAATCATTAAAGTTTCATGTTCTTTTTATTTTTCAGCTACTTCTTCTTCGTTTTGTCCTGAGGACGAAGCTTTGGTGAAAGTTCTTCCACGATGAGAGACCGCTTGGAGGAGCTGCGGAAGAGGGCTCAAGACCTTTCTGAGGCAGCATCTGAAAACAGCGTCCCTCCCTCAGTGGAGGTTGATAATGACGACTCTATGGCGGCCATAACGCCACAGGCTGTGATGTTCGAGGAAGAGCCGGTCATTAAGAATTTCCTGTTTGAGGCCCAGCGAATCAGAGATGATATCACAGTGCTGGACATAGAGGTCATTTATTTAAATGTTTTCTCAAAGGAGTTTGCAATTATCTTAATTGATGTTTTATGTAATGCATTTATGGCTATTAACGGAGGGTGGATTGCCATTGCTACTTGATTTTCATGATGTGTCCTTTTTGAATTACATTCTTTGTTTTCTTGTTTTCTTTGATTATTTTACTTGTTATAATATTTAACTTATCAGAAATAATATAAAATAAGACTGTTTGATCATGCAAATGTAAATGTTGCTGAAGAGATCTTTCTGTCTATTCTTAAACACAAACAGGTCCTTAAGTTTGGACAGCAGCAAAAGACCCTGGTTGCAGCCATGCGTCGTTTCAGTGTGATGAAGAAGGAGAGCAGTATAACCCGGGACATCAAGCTCAAAGCCGAGAGCCTCCATCGACGCATAGATGCTCTTTCAAAACAGGTCCAAAGGACTGAGGACCAACTGGGACCTAATGCTGTTACAACCAGAATACAACTCTCCCAGCATGCATCACTACACTCCAAATTCCAGCAGGTTGAGAAGATGACCCTACCAATACTATTATACTTCATATTACATTACATTACATATAATTTAGCTGAAACTTTTATCCAAAGTGGACTTACAATAGGTGCAAAAACCATAAAGAATCAAAACACCGAACAACAAGGAAAGTGCAGATTTATTCACTTCAAGCAAGCTGCTGGTGAATCAGATAATTAAATCCACAAGTGCTCATATAACTTTGCTTATTTGTGAGCAACGTAGAGCACTATATAAATAATACAAATGAACAGAATTGTATGAGTCACATTATAGCAGAGCCAGAACCAGCAAGGTGGAACTCAAATACTTTATCATTTTTCATTCCCGCTCCCCATTTATTTTTTTTATTCTCTCTTTTTGCTATAATTATGTCCAGGTAATGCGGCAGCATAATGAAGGTCTGCTGGCGAATGAAATGGTGACCACAGGAAAATGGGAGGTGTTCAATGAGAACCTGCTGAATGATGCCAGAATCACACGATCACAACCATCTGAGATTGAACAGCGACACAAGGTGAGGATAGTGGCAACCAACTCAGGAAAACATATACATTTACATTATGTATTGCTGAAAATCTCTCTATCTTGATTTTTGAAAGAAAATAAATGAAATAAGCTTCAGCGCAGCGGTTTAAATTCCCCAGTCAAGCTAAATAACCCCAATGTAATGCCTATTTGGTGAATGCACACATTTTTGACTTTTCATATAACTGCAGCTCATTGCTAATGACTATTTATTCAGTTTGTAAATTACACTCATTATACTGGCTCTCATCTCCTCAAATTGTCTATTAACATTAATTATTTTCCAGTCCAACCTTTTATATCATACCGTCTGTTGCATAGCAGAAACATGCAATCATATCATGTCTCACACATGACCGTATCTTACTATGATAAATGGGTCAAGGAAAGAAATTAAATGGAAGAGGAAATAGGATAGATATAGATATAGATATAGATATGTTTACTTTATTGATCCCACATTGGGAAATGTTACAGCAGTGGCTGGCAGGTTATCAAGGCGTTGCACACGGATAAAAAACACATTAGGAACAGTGGCGACTGGTCATTATGGGCAGGTGCACCTAGTGTCAGCAGAAAGTAATTCAAATAATAATTTTTTTTAAAAGCAAAAATACACATCTTAACATATATTGTAAGATCAAGTTTAATCATCTGAACATTGCTGTTTTAGTCTGTGTTCTTCTAATTAGTGTCTACAGTGTGCCTATTGAGACGTTTTGAGCGACGTGGGTCAAGCCCCGATCTAGCCCCTCTCTCTCTCTGTCAAAGTGAATGGTTGCTGTAAAAACTACACTGCGCATGCTCAGAGTATTTTTCTATTCAATGTGTGCGGCAAAAAAATAATCACCATGGGGCACTGTGCTGACCAAACGTCATCTCATAATTCAGAGAGCTGATTGGCTGTAAGTATGTGTGCCGCGAAAAGTGTAGATGTGAAGAGGAGACGAGAGAGAGCAGCTTTTAGCGATTAAAATCAGTAAAACGGAAAGAAAATGAATGAAGTTCTACTTCAGCTTTGGTAAGTTCATTTTATGTCATATCTTTTGTTGATCTTCTGTGTTTTGCCTATAGGCTATTGCTCTGCTGGATCGAATGATATTGTGACCTCGGTGATGAGTATCTGTGTTTTCCTTATACCCGCCCCGCCCCCTCTCTCTATCGGGGCCTACAGCTATTTGTTTACGTGTTTAAAAAAGCACCAGAAGCTTATATATACACATCTAAGTTGTTCGTGCCCCACCACTTTTGTACATATAAAAACGCCACTGATTAGGAATATGATGTCCATACAGTATCAATAGGAAGCACAACAAAATATATAAGGAAAAAGTTAGAAAACACTTAAAAATATAAACATAGGTTACTATTTACATCCCACCACCTGAGTTTAGAAAAGTGTTTGCAAAGTAGTTACAGGCCTTTAATTTTGGAAGTGAACCCGTTAAATGGTCAAAATGAAAAAGACAATTAGACAAACATGAACTTCTAGAGGTGAGATACGCTAGAAAAAAACAGCAAATTAAACGTAATAGGTAGGCCTACATATAAAAGTGAGTCTTCTCAGTGCTCAGGCCAAGTTGTAAAAAGAGCTGAATTTGTTCCCTCATTGCATCTTAAGTCTCCCGGTTCTGTCTCCCACCACCTCCGGCCCCTGACTAATGCACTCTATATCCACAGTATTAATCCAAGTATCATTGTCAATGTCCCCCAACAGGAGCTGTTGAGTCTGGAGAACAACATGAGGGAGCTGAGGGACCTGTTTATGGACATTTTTATTTTGGTGGAGGAACAAGGCTCCTACATTGAGCACATCCAGACCAATGTGGAGAGGTCTCAGGATTATGTGGCTGCATCTAATGAAAAATTCAAGATGGCCGCCAGATACAAGAAGAACAACCCACTGCGACAGCTGTGCTGCTGCTGCTGCCCTCCCTGGAGATGTTGCTTATAAACATGTGTTTACCTCAACGTTCTTTCCGAGTAATATTTTATATTAGAATTCTCACTTACTTGTTGGGAATAAGGAACTTTGGATTCAAGTACCATTAAAGTGAAGGTTATTATGGCTCTGCAGTTTTGCTGTTGAACAGTGTGAAGGTGAAGATAGATTCAGCAGATCATGGAAAACAATTAGGGTGAAAGCCAGAATTGGTATTTGAAGCACTTGTTTCTTTCAAGAGGATGTGAGACGACTGCTATTGGAAGAGACAGTTCAGTGAGTGCTGCTCACCAACACTGCTGCTTATTGGAGACCTTCACTGTCATCTGACAGAGGTCACAAACAAGCCGAGACCACTGCCTCTCACTGCTGGATCAGCAAGACCCAAGACAAGACGTCAAGACTTCTACCAATGAGCCTCTTAGCTTTCCTCTGTCACAGGACCACACGTGACCATTTATTTTTGTATACATTATGTGCACTTTAAGACTTGTCTATTTTTTTAATCTAAATTTAAAATGTACCCTTGTGGGAAAAGATACGCTTTCTTAAACGTGTCGATTCTTTATCTATTAATTTCCTTCTTGGTCCACATGGTGGTGAAATAGACCACTTGTTTCACAATTAGTCACTATTCTAATTTGCATTTCAAAGTATGGTAATTTTGGGTGAAACATGTTTTATTCTTTTATTCAACTTCACAGAGGTGAAGTAAAACGTAAAACGTTGAATAACGACGAGCCTTGATCAAAATATTTCCGCCCTGGTGACAAACTGCAGAAAACCATTGAAGTCGTAAGTTGAAAAATAAGATTGAAGTTTATTATTGGAGGAAATATTTCCTTTCCCTAGATGTTTTTTTTATTTGGGATATGTTGAAACTGTTACATTTTTCCGATGAAAAATGCTGGCATCTATTTGTATAATAGTTTTAATTATTATTAAAATGATAATGACACTAAAAAAGAAAGAAGTGGCTGTTAAGCAGCAGAAGGGCTCTCACCTAGGAGATATCCAGCAGAATGGATTTGAACAGATCAGCACACTCACACCTGTTAACTGGTTATAGTTAAATTGTTCACGCTTTACTTAATGCAGAGTAGAAATTACTGTCACATTTTCCTGGAGGGTGTTGCGACTAAGATATTAAGAGTCACTAATTAATTTCAGGAGACTTTATGCTTTTTCTCACGTACCAGCAGAATGGCTCTTAACTAGCCTCTCATCAGCAGTGAGATTATTTAGTGACTCAATGACCCATGGTGTCTGGTGTCCAGGACAAAATAAAGGTGAACAAGGTGTGCCAGAGATAGCCTGGAAAATCCGGTTTGTCTGCTTTTCCAGAATAGCTCCCAGGCTACTGGATGTTCCTGTAGGGAAGGGTGAGTAAACACAACCATTAACTGTAGAGAAAACAAATAATGTCCTTTTCAAATAAAAATACTTCTTAGCTTAAGAAAACATTAAAAGTAAATATGCATTTGGACTTTTGCTGTGCCACAAAGTGTAAGTCAATGTAGTCGCCCTACAAGGAATAAATAACTCATGTGAAACACTACCTGCTATGATGTGTTTTATTTAACTAGTATTTTGTATGATGCCTCAGGAGTAAAGTGAGGTGTTCCTAAATCTAAACATCTTTGTTATCATCAGTTTTGCTCAGATTCAAATGACATTTTTTAACAAAGACATAAAAACAGGAAGTCATTCTATGTTCATTAACTAGGAATACACTATGTTGCAGCACATCACTGTTTCTCCCTCCTCACAGATTTAGTGAGGAAAAATGAAGCGCAGCTGCAAATTGAGGGTTTCTTGAACAGCAACAATGCCATCCAGTGTTCACTAAGATAATTGCCGTTTAGGAAATAGGTTATCTATTAATGTTTAATCTGTGTTTACTCCTTTTCTCCATAAAGAGCTCTCGAGTTGTCAAATGCCGCACTGTACTTACAAGCTACAAACAAAGGTTACTTATTGTAACCCTAGTTCTATACGCACAGGCAGAGCCCTCTACCAAGGGGCTCTGTCTCTCCTATGCCGCTCGCTGAAGAGAGTGTGCTGCATCAACTTAAACTGTGACATGAAAAAGCCCCTTGTACACCAAGCGTTTTAAAAACGAGAGAATAAAGCCCATTGCACAGTATCTTACCGCCTGTGGTTTTATCAAAGAATGTCTAAATTGCACAGATAGAGTAGAACAATTAAGAAATCATGAAATGAGAGCAAATCCCATTGAACCTGTTCTCCTTAATCAGTGATACTGATGACTGACCAACCATAGGAAACAGGCTTACACACAATTAGCTTGCTCCCGCCATGCTGATGAAGGCGAATACTGACACTAGGAAAACCCATTTTGCTTTGTTGTCATAATATCTTGCCATAAGGGATAGATGACTCACAGTTTACACACCGCTGCGGCATTATTACAGACAGGTAACATCTGGTGCAACAGAGATAAAAACTCAGCATTCTGCATAGTCATCAAATGGTTAATGTGTTTTTTTAATTTCTCACTGAAGCGACACAGAACCACCAACTTGAGAGTATTTGATGCTAGTGATATTGCTGTTACCAATTTTTGTTGATTACAAACTTTATTTAGAGGATTAAAATGTTCTAGGTTGGAAATAGGACCCATGAAACCGGGAACCCAATAATACCTTTCGCAGAGACTTTTTTTGTGTATTCTCCCACACATCCTTGGTGTCCACATTTGAAGTAGGGGTGGGAGTGTGACAGGTATTCTGCTACCAGCCTGCAAAGTTCCAAGTAACGAAGACTGAACTCTTGCCCCTGTCGAACTCTTCTCATCCTACAAAGTTGTCTCCCCTCTTTCCCTCTGATGGCTTACTTCAAACAGCTTTTTCACAGCTTGTTATGCTGCATAGCAAAGAGTGACTGGGACCCTTTCGGTGTTGAAAAGGCGCCTGGGTTTTAGAGAGCTTGTCAGTAGAAATCTGTCAAAAGTACTCAGCGGAGTTACTGGGGCCTAAGGAGTACAATACCCCCAGACCAAGAGGGCTTACCACGTGAACCCAGACACTTCACATATAAATTAACCTTGTGGAAAGGAAACCAAAGGCCTTGGTTGACACTCTAACCGCATTGCCCATTGTTTGTCCTGAGCAATGCACACAATACAATTCTATTTGCTTTTCACTTTTTTTTATCTAAGCCTGAGGGGAGGATTTATGGCCTCCCTGTGCTGCCTCTCCCCCTTCTCATTTACTTAATCACGTCACATCTCATTTCTTTAGATAAGCAAATGGTCCTTCAGTGTGCTGCATTCCTATTGGCTTCAAAAGGAGGGGAGGTGCTTGAATCTGACTCAACCAAACTTCTTCAAAAACGTACCCTGCTTGTTGGTAGTTTAACAGTTACAGTGAAAGCAAGGAGATCTGAAAATGACGTAATGATATCAAAGAATGTGTAAACTTGTTTTGGATTATGTTCCTGGTGAACTCTGGTAAAACTCAGCAGGACACCCATGATGGAATTCTAACATCAAGGTAAAATCTTCATTTCAGACTCAATATTCTACAGCCTCTGACGGTTAATGTGTGTAAAAGTGTGCTGTACATTGAGATTATACTCAGGTTTTTGTAATGTATTTGGTCGTTTTTCTTCTATGTTGAATTACATTTATCTATAGATATCTTTTAGATAGTCTATCTTGAGCAAGTAAGACTTGATTGACAGTTGAATTTTGGACTATTTTAAGCAGAATAATGTCTTGTTACATTTGAAAGACAAGCAATTATCTGTTTGAACTGCGATAAAATACAACATTTGGAGGCTTCTGTTCCACCAGAATGGAGATGAGAGAATGTCAACATGACATTACTATAAGAAAAACAGACTAAGAAGCAGATGATTAGCCTGAAGAAAATATTGGAAGTTATATTATTTTATAGAATAAAACTGTCAATCATAGAGAGAGCAGCCAGACTCCCTCACGAACCTTGCTCGACTTCTTCCAGGTTTTTAGGGTAAACACAAAAAAAATCGGCTCTCTTCTGGGTCGGGCAGGTAGGGAGAGAAATAGGAGAAGGAGGGGGAGAGAGTTCAACCAAGAAAATGAAGGATACTTTGACATGCTTTAAGCTCTGAGAGGTTTGTAATGGTTACAACCATCTTCCTCCTCCTACTCCACACACACACACACACACACACACACACACACACACACACACACACACACACACACACACACACACACACACACACACACACACACACACACACACACACACACACACACACACACACACACACACACACACACACACACACACACTACACACACACACACACACACACACACACACACACACACACACACACACACACACACACACACACACACACACACACACACACACACACACACACACACACAAAATAGGGTATTTCCTGTTTGAAATGTATCCAGAAATGGGATAGGCTGTGATTCGAAATGCTCCATTTCTAACTCTGTTTCCCCGACACAATCATGTGCTTGCAGCAGATTATGTTTACGGCCTCTAAAACACAAATCCCTGTGTTGCTAAGGGAATGTATTTTAATGCCTATTTGAATGCAAAGGAATTTAAAGTTGAATGTGTTTCACTCGTCAAAGGCATACAGGGAATCAGATTCTGTATCGCACGCTTTTAATCACAAGCACCTCACTTGTTTACTTCAGCTTTAGAAGTTATCAGCTGGAGTTAAAGACTTGGAGCTTAAACAAGTCGCTTATTTCTCAGCAGTTGCTGTTAAGATATTTATTTTTATTTCAACATTTTACATATTTAGTAAACAGCAGTCAGAATTGACATATTGCAGCCTTTCCTTTCTGTTTAGTTTAAGTAAATAAGTAGTATTTACCAAACCTGCTCTGACAACCTACTCGGGTTTCATGGGAAAAGGAACTTGAGTCAATTTGAGTGATGTCTCGGATACACTTTATGCTCAGGTTGTTTTTCATACAGTTATAAATATATATATGTGTTTAGCAGTGTGCATATATGGCTCATTATGCTCAGACAGATGAACTTATAATGATGTAAATGAAAACTGATCCGGCTTTGACTCCTACCAGCCACACCAGGGTGCACAGTTCACTTTTTCCTTCAGCTTGAACTGTATTTGGTCATTTTTTAGGACTTGGGTGTCCTGTTTCTTTTCAAAATTAAGTTTATAGCTAATTTTAATGCATACTTTGAAACTAAATAAATATATCTAGCAAGTGGCACAATATTGCTCCTGAAAGTGTAAAAAAACGTAATGTATTTGTTTTCCTATAATATCAACTCTTACAATACAATATCCACTCATTATTCAACTTTTGTGTGGTTTTGTTTAGGCACTTATAGCACTCTTTTAGAGAGATAATGATCCACTTTCCTGGAAAATATGTTCACTTACATACAATCCTGGCAGAAATTATGTACCTGGAACAACACATTAGTTATATAAATTGCAAGTGTAGGAGACAGCTTGCAGATCATTACTGAAATAACGATTATTTGTGTAATTCCCATCCCATATAACTTTCTTTGTTGGATAGCATCTATATGTACAGTGAAGTGCATGTGCCATTTTTACTTTATTTGTTCTGTATTTCTTTCGGCTTCTAATATATAAGGTATTTATTTCAGACAAACACTTGAAATTATTTCATGCAGTTTATTGATCACCTTATGTCAATGTACCTGGGCATAATTGAAGATATACCCCAGAAGTACACAAAGTGGTTTCACATAATGCATTCATTCAACCAAGTATAAGTTGTTTTTACCAGCGATGTAAGTCTGGTCATTTACTACTCTTGGTACAGTCTAGTCTCTAGTCTATTTCCCATATACTTCCGATGTAGCTACACCATGATTAAACCATAATCTCTTACTCAACATTTCGCTTATGTCTCACCTTACAATGTTAACCATATATTAAAAATTGGGATAGTAATACTGGGAGATAACATATTTTCCTTGATCCAAAACTGATCCAAAACTGTTGTATGTGTACGTCATTTTTGTGGTAAACAGGGCTGCTTGGTAAACAATGAACATGTCATGACATTAAATACTAAAAGCACACTGATTATAGCTAGAGTACTCATTACATTACTTTCCATTAAACACATTATCTCACGCTAGTCCGATCCTAAAGCACTGTTCACTTAAAACAACTAAACTTAGATGACTCCTGAATGTAGTGTTACCAGACAGTTTTGAGTTCTTTATAACCTGTGAAAATACCAACCAAATACATAAACATATATTGTATAATGTTGTAATGTGACTAATTATCTCAAATATCCCTTTAAAATCTGCAGTCAGAAGAATTCAGAAATTTGCAGCACACTAAATTGCTCTTTTACAATTCATTGATAATGCCATCCATTCTTTCACTGTAACTCTAACCTGTTTACCAAGAGCTGATCCTTTTCATTAAATTATTTACTGTCAATGGTCTCTTTTTTTACTGCCTTGTTTTCAGATTGTTATGTTCTGCACAAATCCCGTTACGGACAGGAATCATTAAAGTTTCATGTTCTTTTTATTTTTCAGCTACTTCTTTTTCGTTTTGTCCTGAGGACGAAGCTTTGGTGAAAGTTCTTCCACGATGAGAGACCGCTTGGAGGAGCTGCGGAAGAGGGCTCAAGACTTTTCTGAGGCAGCATCTGAAAACAGCGTCCCTCCCTCAGTGGAGGTTGATAATGACGACTCTGTGACGCCACAGGCTGTGATGTTCGAGGAAGAGCCGGTCATTAAGCATTTCCTGTTTGAGGCCCAGCGAATCAGAGATGATATCACAGTGCTGGACATAGAGGTCATTTATTTAAATGTTTTCTCAAAGGAGTTTGCAATTATCTTAATTGATGTTTTATGTAATGCATTTATGGCTATTAACGGAGGGTGGATTGCCATTGCTACTTGATGTTCATGATGTGTTCTTTTTGAATTACATTCTTTGTTTTCTTGTTTTCTTTGATTATTTTACTTGTTATAATATTTAACTTATCAGAAATAATATAAAATAAGACTGTTTGATCATGCAAATGTAAATGTTGCTGAAGAGATCTTTCTGTCTATTCTTAAACACAAACAGGTCCTTAAGTTTGGACAGCAGCAAAAGACCCTGGTTGCAGCCATGCGTCGTTTCAGTGTGATGAAGAAGGAGAGCAGTATAACCCGGGACATCAAGCTCAAGGCCGAGAGCCTCCATCGACGCTTAGATGCTCTTTCAAAACAGGTCCAAAGGACTGAGGACCAACTGGGACCTAATGCTGTTACGACCAGAATACAACTCTCCCAGCATGCATCACTACACTCCAAATTCCAGCAGGTTGGGAAGATGACCCTACCAATACTATTATACTTCATATTACATTACATTACATATAATTTAGCTGAAACTTTTATCCAAAGTGGACTTACAATAGGTGCAAAAACCATAAAGAATCAAAACACCGAACAACAAGGAAAGTGCAGATATATTCACTTCAAGCAAGCTGCTGGTGAATCAGATAATTAAATCCACAAGTGCTCATATAACTTTGCTTATTTGTGAGCAACGTAGAGCACTATATAAATAATACAAATGCACAGAATTGTATGAGTCACATTATAGCAGAGCCAGAACCAGCAAGGTGGAACTCAAATACTTTATCATTTTTCATTCCCGTTCCCCATTTCTTTTTTTTATTCTCTCTTTTTGCTATAATTATGTCCAGGTAATGCGGCAGTATAATGAAGGTCTGCTGACGAAGCAGGAGCGCTGTAAGCATTTCATTATCCGGCAGCTGGAGGTATCTGGAAGGGATGTGACGGAGGACGAGGCGAATGAAATGGTGACCACAGGAAAATGGGAGGTGTTCAATGAGAACCTGCTGAATGATGCCAGAATCACACGATCACAACTATCTGAGATTGAACAGCGACACAAGGTGAGGATAGTGGCAACCAACTCAGGAAAACATATACATTTACATTATGTATTGCTGAAAATCTCTCTATCTTGATTTTTGTAAGAAAATAAATTAAATAAGCTTCAGCGCAAGTCGGTTTAAATTCCCCAGTCAAGCTAAATAACCCCAATTTAATGCCTATTTGGTGAATGCACACATTTTTGACTTTTCATATAACTGCAGCTCATTGCTAATGACTATTTATTCAGTTTGTAAATTACACTCATTATACTGGCACTCATCTCCTCGAATTGTCTATTAACATGAATTATTTTCCAGTCCAACCTTTTATATCATACCGTCTGTTGCATAGCAGAAACATGCAATCATATCATGTCTCACACATGACCGTATCTTACTATGACAAATGGGTCAAGGAAAGAAATTAAATGGAAGAGGAAATAGGATAGATATAGATATAGATATAGATATGTTTACTTTATTGATCCCACATTGGGAAATGTTACAGCAGGGCAGGTTATCAAGGCGTTGCACACGGATAAAAAACACATTAGGAACAGTGGCGACTGGTCATTATGGGCAGGTGCACCTAGTGTCAGCAGAAAGCAATTAAAATAATAATTTTTTAAAAAGCAAAAAAACACATCTTAACATATATTGTAAGATCAAGTTTAATCATCTGAGCATTGCTGTTTTAGTCTGTGTTCTTCTAATTAGTGTCTACAGTGTGCCTATTGAGACGTTTTGAGCGACGTGGGTCAAGCCCCGATCTAGCCCCTCTCTCTCTCTGTCAAAGTGAATGGTTGCTGTAAAAACTACACTGCGCATGCTCAGAGTATTTTTCTATTCAATGTGTGCGGCAAAAAAATAACCACCATGGGGCACTGTGCTGACCAACCCGGTATCACGGCAAGACATGAACATGTGACGATCTACCATGCTGGGAGACGTGAATATGTCACGGTTTCGTCCCTTCAAACGTAACAGTTACACGGTATTGTTAACATGGCCCAACCAGTGGAGAAATACCCGGAAGTGCCAAGCAAATGGTCTACCGCGCCTATTGGTCGGTTTTTATTGTCAAAATGAGATGTTTTTAATTTATTTTTTAATCGTCACACTTGATTTCGCCGATTTTCTTGTTGCCCTAGCTGGTCGACACCTCTTTTAGCAGAAACAAAGGCTACATTAATGTATTAAATCGATGTTAATCCATGTGTGTGGATCATAGACTGGTGTGGATGTGGAATTAACGGACGTGACGTTGTGCGATTACGTTGCCAGGCAACGCAATTTACAAACTCTTCAACTACAACCCTAATTATATTTAAAAACATTTTAGAAGGCCTCACGAAATACTTTAATGTAAATTAAAATGTAAATGTGAAGGGGTGTGTGTAATGTGGTGATTGACATTATTCACCCACGGATCTATGGGTTGGAGGTATTGTTCCGCACGGACATTTTAGTTAACCGGACTTACTGTTGATGTGAAATCCGAAAAAAAATACGTTATACACCATAACGGTGCACAGCTGATATAAAAGGACTTGTCGTTTTTAAAGATATTACTGATTTTCTTTGAATATAAGAATGTAAATACTGAGTTGAGAGAATAGTCAGGGGATTTGGGTGATGGGAGACACATCTATGGATTCAGAATTTCAATAGCTTACTGTTAAATGACGGATATACCTTTCTGTCTGTGATGTTTTACAAATCAGATATTATAAGTAAAACATGTGAAATAATATAGCAATATCCTGTACAATTATGTGAAAACATGAATAAAACTACACATCTTCAGATGTTATACAGACACAAGTGTCCGACACTAATAATACAAAGTTATTATGGCTGTGTGTACCTTGTGTGCACCGCCTAGTGGTTAAAGCACGTTATTGAATTAGTTGTGTATATGATATGTCAATGATCCTTAGAAAATCTTGAAATCTTGAAAGGGATATGCAAAATAGCCATTATATACAGTCTTTAATTAACAACGTCACGTCCGTTAATTCCACATCCACACCAGTCTATGATCCACACACATGGATTAACATCGATTTAATACATTAATGTAGCCTTTGTTTCTGCTAAAAGAGGTGTCGACTAGCTAGGGCAACAAGAAAATCGGCGAAATCAAGTGTGACGATTAAAAAATAAATTAAAAACATCTCATTTTGACAATAAAAACCGACCAATAGGCGCGGTAGACCATTTGCTTGGCACTTCCGGGTATTTCTCCACTGGTTGGGCCATGTTAACAATACCGTGTAACTGTCACGTTTGAAGGGACGAAACTGTGACATATTCACGTCTCCCAGCATGGTAGATCGTCACATGTTCACGTCTTGCCGTGATACCGGGTTGGTGCTGACATACCTACCAAACGTCATCTCATAATTCAGAGAGCTGATTGGCTGTAAGTATGTGTGCCGCGAAAAGTGTAGATGTGAAGAGGAGACGAGAGAGAGCAGCGTATAGCGATTAAAATCAGTAAAACTGTCACAAACGAGCTGAGGACCAAAATGCAAAACACGGGGAAACCAGGGATAGTCTGTTACCAGCTTTATTGAAGGCAATAACTGGTAGGAGACGAAAAGGCAAGTAGTAGGCAAAGGGCTGGTCGGGGACAGGCGAGGGTTCCAGGAGAAGGCAAGACGGGAGTCGCAGGTACAGACCGGGTCAGGGAGCAGGCGTGGCAGAATAGTCCGGGTACAGGCAGGGTCAGGAATCAGGCGAGGCAGGCAGGTCAGGGACAGGCAGGGTCTGAACCGGGAGAGCAATCTGGGAAGTAATGCTGGAAAGACTGGCATGCTGCAAAGTACGATCTGGCACTGAGGTGAGAGTGAAGTGGGCCTATATACTACTGGAGCTGATGGGTGTAACAGAGTGAAAGAGAGAGACAGGGTGTGGCTACCAGGTGACTAAGGAATGTTAATGCAGAAAATAGGTGAGTGAGAAAGCAGACTGTGACAGAACTCCCCCCTTAATGGACGGCTCCCGACGTCCAAGACAAACCTACGGGAAAAAAAAAAAAAAAAAAAATCAACAAACACCCTACAGACACCGGGTGGAAGGTGGGGGTATGGGAAAGGTTAATACTCATCTGAGAATGCTCTCTCGGCCTCCCCCTCCTGGAAATCCTCGTCCTCCTCGACTGAAGACGCCTCCCCCTCCTCCTCGATGAAGCCCCCGGTCCGTAGCCGACGAGTACCCCCCGGCTTAACGCCTGGCTGAGCGTGGGCCCTAGAAGGTTGCTCCGGGTAGCGCAGGTGGAAGTCCCGGATGAGTTGAGGGTTGAGGATGTGACGAGCAGGAATCCACTGCCTCTCCTCAGGACCATAGCCCTCCCAGTCCACCAAATACTGAACCCCTCTTCCTCTGCGTCGGGAACGAAGTATACGACGAAGGGTATAGGTCGGACCCCCATCGATCATCCTAGGGGGTGGTGGTGGGGGAGCGGCGGGAATCATAGGACTCTCCCGGACAGGTTTAATCCTAGACACGTGGAAGGTGGGATGGATCTTCATGTTCCGGGGCAAACTCAGTCGAACTGCTGCAGGGTTAATGACCTTGACGATCTCAAAGGGTCCAATAAATCTGGGCGCTAACTTTTTAGACTCCACTCGAAGGGGAATGTTTTGAGTGGAAAGCCACACCTTCTGGCCTAGCTGGTACACAGGTGCCTTGGTGCGTCGGCGGTTCGCTGATGTGGCGTACCGGTTAGCAGACTGAAGCAGAGTAGTTCGAGCCCGCCTCCAAGTCCTCCGACAACGTCTGATGAAGGCCTGGACAGACGGACAGGTAACCTCTTTCTCCAATGCAGAGAACAAAGGAGGTTGAAACCCGTATGCACACTGAAAAGGGGAAAGACCAGTAGCGGAACTGATGAGTGTGTTGTGGGCATACTCCACCCACAGGAGTTGTTTAGACCAGGTCGTAGGATGATCGGAAGCCATGCAGCGGAGAGTGGTCTCCATCTCCTGATTCTTCCTTTCAGTCTGACCATTGGCCTGTGGATGGAAACCGGAGGTGAGACTGACCGTCGCCCCGATCAGTTCACAAAACTCCCTCCAAAACACAGAGGTGAACTGGGGCCCCCGGTCGGAAACCACATCAGTCGCCAGTCCGTGAAGGCGAAAAACGTGGAGAAGCATAAGTTCAGCCGTCTCCTTAGCTGACGGGATCTTAGGCAGGGGTACGAAGTGAGCCATTTTACTGAACCGATCCACCACCGTCAAGATGGCAGTATGTCCGTGGGACGGTGGAAGACCAGTCACAAAGTCCAACGAAATATGTGACCATGGGCGACGTGGAACCGGTAATGGATGAAGGAGGCCAGCTGGCGCTTGGTGAGAGGGTTTGTGCCGATTGCACACAGGACAGGCGTTCACAAACTCCCGGGTGTCAGCCTCCAGCGTAGCCCACCAGAACCGCTGCAGAACCATCCCTCTGGTACGTTGAATCCCAGGGTGGCAGGAAAGTCTGGAGCTGTGAGCCCACTGAAGCACCTCAGCCCTCAAAACCTGAGGCACAAACAAACGGTTAAGAGGACAAGAACTAGGACCGGGTTGGTCCACCAAAGCGGTCTTAACCCTCTCCTCAATCTCCCAAGCGAGAACGCCGATCACTCGAGGAGCAGGAAGAATAGTGTCCGGGATACCGCAGGTGTCTCCCTCCCTCCCGAACTGCCGGGACAAAGCGTCGGCCTTCACGTTGCGGGAGCCCGGGCGGTAGGAGAGGAAAAAATTAAACCGGGTGAAAAATAACGACCACCTGGCTTGCCGGGAATTCAGTCTTTGTGCCGACCTGATGTATTCCAGGTTCTTATGGTCGGTCCAAACCTGAAATGGCAGTTCTGTCCCCTCAAGCCAGTGTCGCCACTCCTCCAACGCCAACTTGACTGCTAGAAGCTCCCGGTTCCCCACGTCGTAGTTTCTCTCCGCCGGACTCAATCTCCTCGAAAAGAAAGCACAGGGGTGGAGCTTCTGATTCTCACCAGAACGTTGCGACAGGATGGCCCCCACCCCTACGTCAGAAGCATCCACCTCCACCACCAACTGACCAGCAGGGTCTGGTACCTGTAGGATAGGAGCCGACGTAAACCGGCGCTTGAGGTCCTGAAAAGCCTCCTCTGCTGCATGGGACCATCTAAACGTTACCTTAGACGAGGTCAGGGCGGTGAGCGGGGCGGCCACGGTACTGTAGCCACGGATGAACCGTCTGTAAAAGTTAGCGAATCCTAGGAAACGCTGCAGCTCCTTCCGGGAATCAGGAACCCGCCACGAGGTAACCGCTGAAACTTTGGAGGGATCCATCTCCACACTTCCTTGACCCACGATGTAGCCAAGAAAGGCGACCGAAGAAGTGTGAAACTCGCACTTCTCCGTCTTGACAAACAGCGAGTTCTCTAGAAGTCTCTGGAGGACTGTCTGGACGTGATGGATGTGTTCCTTGAGGGTCTTTGAAAAAATCAAAATGTCGTCCAAATAAACAAAAACATAACGATCCAACATGTCCCGGAGTACATCGTTCACCAACGCTTGGAAAACTGCAGGGGCGTTGGTAAGTCCAAATGGCATCACCAGGTACTCGTAGTGTCCTGACGAGGTGTTGAAGGCGGTCTTCCATTCATCCCCCTCACGGATTCGTACCAGGTGATATGCGTTTCGTAAATCCAGCTTGGTAAAGATTGTTGCTCCCTGTAGTAACTCGAATGCTGACGAGATGAGTGGCAGGGGATAACGATTCTTTACCGTGACGTCATTCAGACCCCGATAGTCAATGCAGGGTCTCAGGGTCTTATCCTTCTTCGCCACAAAAAAAAACCCTGCTCCTGCGGGTGACGTGGAAGGACGAATAATTCCCGCAGCCAGAGAGTCATTGACGTACGTCTCCATGGACTTCCTCTCCGGTGCCGAAAGTGAGTACAACCGCCCCTTGGGTGGGACTGCGCCCGGATGTAGCTCAATAGCACAGTCATAGGGCCGATGAGGTGGGAGAGATGTTGCCTTAGTCTTGCTAAAAACCTCCTTAAAGTCCAAATACTCCGCCGGAACCCCTGTGACATCCGGAACCAGGTTAATATCCACAGATAGTTGAGGTGCAGCGGCCTGCTTGAGGCAAACCTGATGACAGGAAGAACTCCACCCTAGGATGGACCCAGTTGACCAGTCAATGTTCGGGTTGTGGTGGCGGAGCCATGGATAACCCAAAATCAGAGGAATCTTGGGGGACCGTAGCACATGAAACTGGATTGTCTCATGGTGGTTCCCCGACATGAGCATATGGACCGGTGTCGTCTGGTGAGTCACCGTTCCCAGCAGGTGACCGTCCAAAGCATTAGCCGGTACCGGCTGGGGCAACTGAATCTGTTGAATGCCCAGCTGTAGTGCGAGCTCCTCATCAATGATGCTGACATCTGATCCGGAGTCGATAAACACAGCCAGAGCCTGAGGTGTGCCTCTCAGGAGAAGTCGAGCATGGCACAAAGGTCTTCCATTGGGGATCAGCTCAGAGGTTCGGCCCACCAGTATACTCCCCATTACTGATGGGCTCTGCCTTTTCCCGGACAACGGGAAACAAAATGTCCAGCCTGACCACAGTAAAGGCATAAATTCCCTCTTCGACGTAACTCCCTCTCCTCAGACCTAAGACTGGTACGACCCACTTGCATGGGCTCGACCTCCCCGTACCGTGAGTCAGAGTAGGGATGGGAATTCTCCGCCGAAACTGGAAGTTGAAATCTCCCGGAAACCGGAAGTTGTTGTCGCGAGCGGCGGCCCGCCGCTCGTGTCTGTTGCTCTTCTCTTCGTGTCTGAATTCGTCTGTCGATCCGAGAGGTGAGCTCGATCAACCCATCCAAGGAAGCAGGGAGATCATAGGAAACCAGCTCATCTCTCATATAATCCGCTAAGCCTCTCAGATATGCGTCACATTGCGCCGGCTCGTTCCAGCTACTACGGCGGCTGCTGGTGCGGAAATCAATAGCGTAATTCACCACCGTGCCGGAACCCTGGCTCAAGCTCAGCAGACCTCCGGCAGCATCGGGACCCAGATGAACGAAACCGAACACCTTCTGCATCTCCGCGGAAAAAGCAGCAAAAGAGGCGCAGGCTGGAGTCTGCTGCTCCCACTCTGCAGTACCCCATAAGCGCGCTTTCCCCGTCAAATGATTAACGGTGAAAGCTACGCGAGCCGCCTCGGAGGCAAAGGTGTGTGGCTGCAGTGAAAACAATATGGAACAGTTTGTGAGAAAAGGACTGCATCCCTCAGGCTCACCAGCGTAGCGTTCCGGAGTTCCCACACGAGGCTCCGGAGCGTATCCAGTCGGTCCAGAGGCTGGAGTGAACATCGGAGCTGCGGGCGGAGGGACGGTAGCAGCCATGCTAGCGGCTAGCTGTTGTACGTTGGCAGCCATCTGTTGCATCTGGAAGGTCAGGTAAGCCAGCGCTTCTTCCTGGGTTGAGGTTGCCCGGTGGGTCTCGGTAGCTAAGGTAGCTATCGTGACCTCCTGTCTTTGGATGGCTTCCTCAGCCCTCTCAAAGCGGTCTCTAGGAGACCCGGTGTCTGCTTGGTCCATTTCTGGCCAGATCGTTCTGTCACAAACGAGCTGAGGACCAAAATGCAAAACACGGGGAAACCAGGGATAGTCTGTAACCAGCTTTATTGAAGGCAATAACTGGTAGGAGACGAAAAGGCAAGTAGTAGGCAAAGGGCTGGTCGGGGACAGGCGAGGGTTCCAGGAGAAGGCAAGACGGGAGTCGCAGGTACAGACCGGGTCAGGGAGCAGGCGTGGCAGAATAGTCCGGGTACAGGCAGGGTCAGGAATCAGGCGAGGCAGGCAGGTCAGGGACAGGCAGGGTCGGAACCGGGAGAGCAATCTGGGAAGTAATGCTGGAAAGACTGGCATGCTGCAAAGTACGATCTGGCACTGAGGTGAGAGTGAAGTGGGCCTATATACTACTGGAGCTGATGGGTGTAACAGAGTGAAAGAGAGAGACAGGGTGTGGCTACCAGGTGACTAAGGAATGTTAATGCAGAAAATAGGTGAGTGAGAAAGCAGACTGTGACAAAAACGGAAAGAAAATGAATGAAGTTGACCATCTACTTCAGCTTTGGTAAGTTCGTAATAGGTACGTATACAAGTGAGTTTTTTCAGTGCTCAGGCCAAGTTGTAAAAAGAGCTGAATTTGTTCCCTCATTGCATCTTAAGTCTCCCGGTTCTGTCTCCCACCACCTCCGGCCCCTGACTAATGCACTCTATATCCACAGTATTAATTCAAGTATCATTGTCAATGTCCCCCAACAGGAGCTGTTGAGTCTGGAGAACAACATGAGGGAGCTGAGGGACCTGTTTATGGACATTTTCATGTTGGTGGAGGAACAAGGCTCCTACATTGAGCACATCCAGACCAATGTGGAGAGGTCTCAGGATTATGTGGCTGCATCTAATGAAAAATTCAAGATGGCCGCCAGATACAAGAAGAACAACCCACTGCGACAGCTGTGCTGCTGCTGCTGCCCTCCCTGGAGATGTTGCTTATAAACATGTGTTTACCTCAACATTCTTTCCGAGTAATATTTTATATTAGAATTCTCACTTACTTGTTGGGAATAAGGAACTTTGGATTCAAGTACCATTAAAGTGAAGGTTATTATGGCTCTGCAGTTTTGCTGTTGAACAGTGTGAAGGTGAAGATAGATTCAGCAGATCATGGAAAACAATTAGGGTGAAAGCCAGAATTGGTATTTGAAGCACTTGTTTCTTTCAAGAGGATGTGAGACGACTGCTATTGGAAGAGACAGTTCAGTGAGTGCTGCTCACCAACACTGCTGCTTATTGGAGACCTTCACTGTCATCTGATAGAGGTCACAAACAAGCCGAGACCACTGCCTCTCACTGCTGGTTCAGCAAGACCCAAGACAAGACGTCAAGACTTCTACCAATGAGCCTCTTAGCTTTCCTCTGTCACAGGACCACACGTGACCATTTATTTTTGTATACATTATGTGCACTTTAAGACTTATCTATTTTTTTTATCTAAATTTAAAATGTACCCTTGTGGGAAAAGATACGCTTTCTTAAATGTGTCGATTCTTTATCTATTAATTTCCTTCTTGGTCCACATGGTGGTGAAATAGACCACTTGTTTCACAATTAGTCACTATTCTAATTTGCATTTCAAAGTATGGTAATTTTGGGTGAAACATGTTTTATTCTTTTATTCAACTTCACAGAGGTGGGGATTCAAGTAAAACGTTGAATAACGACGAGCCTTGATCAAAATATTTCCGCCCTGGTGACAAACTGCAGAAAACCATTGAAGTCGTAAGTTGAAAAATAAGATTGAAGTTTATTATTGGAGGAAATATTTCCTTTCCCTAGATGTTTTTTTTATTTGGGATATGTTGAAACTGTTACATTTTTCCGATGAAAAATGCTGGCATCTATTTGTATAATAGTTTTAATTATTATTAAAATGATAATGACGCTAAAAAAGTGGCTGTTAAGCAGGAGAAGGGCTCTCACCTAGGAGATATCCAGCAGAATGGATTTGAACAGATCAGCACACTCACACCTGTTAACTGGTTATAGTTAAATTGTGAGATTATTTAGTGACTCAATGACCCATGGTGTCTGGTGTCCAGGACAAAATAAAGGTGAACAAGGTGTGCCAGAGATAGCCTGGAAAATCCGGTTTGTCTGCTTTTCCAGAATAGCTCCCAGGCTACTGGATGTTCCTGTAGGGAAGGGTGAGTAAACACAACCATTAACTGTAGAGAAAACAAATAATGTCCTTTTCAAATAAAAATACTTCTTAGCTTAAGAAAACATTAAAAGTAAATATGCATTTGGACTTTTGCTGTGCCACAAAGTGTAAGTCAATGTAGTCGCCCTACAAGGAATAAATAACTCATGTGAAACACTACCTGCTATGATGTGTTTTATTTAACTAGTATTTCGCATGATGCCTCAGGAGTAAAGTGAGGTGTTCCTAAATCTAAACATCTTTGTTATCATCAGTCTTGCTCAGATTCAAATGACATTTTTTAACAAAGACATAAAAACAGGAAGTCATTCTATGTTCATTAACTAGGAATACACTATGTTGCAGCACATCACTGTTATATCTCTCACAGGCTCCGCCCTCTACTGGACTCTATGGGTACTACCTTATCCCGCGTGCATTCTCCCACTGAGACTTCTATAGACGTAGCCGGCCCAGGGCGGGCCTACCTGAATGCGCGCCGCATCACACCGTATAAAAGGAGGCCTCGCCTCCTGACTGCCATCCTTTTTCTCTTCAGCTAAGCGGAAGTGATTCCACAGAAGACGTAAGACGTATTGAAGTGAAAGTAATAGAGAGAGAGTATGGCTGGACCATAGGACCTGCCCGAATTGTCCGAACCTGATTTCAGGAGTCGATCCGCACCAGTGTTAATTTCGTCAACGAAAACTATGACGAAAAATGTTCGTCAACGACCTTTTTTACATGACTAAGACGAGACGATGACGAGCTAAAAATAGATTCTTGATAACGAAAATTTGACGAAATGTATATTTAGTTTTCGTTGACGAGACGAGACGGGACTAAGGTGTTAATGGTGGACTATCGGACATTCAAAATGCAGGGTATTTCCCCCCAAGTGTCCGTCTTGTCTGTCAAAATGCATCTTACATTTCTAACTTGCAATATCATTATTTCCGCTCTCTTCACTCCAGAAGAGCGATCTCCCTCTCTCTCTGTGTGCGGGGGCGGGGCCTAACAGACACGCTGCAGCGGCACACAGAGATCTGCCGGGGACGGAGCGTTCAGAGAGTATAGAGACACTCTACAAGACTCAATGTGGACAAAGCTCGTTTGCCATGTTTTCGCGTTAGCGCGTTGACACGAGTAGAGTAGTCTGTCCAAACAGCCGGCCAAAAGGCGTCATATCAGTCGGAAATGCACAATTTTCGACTTCCTTAACTCGTAGCTCTGTTGCCCCAATTACGAGTAACGTTATCACATCAGGTGTGCAGAGGTGGGAGAAGTACTCAGATCTTGTAGCTAAGTAAAAAAATACCATAGTGTAGGAAGAGTTCCTCAAGTCAAAGTATGATCATCAAAATATATTTAAAGTAGCAACAGTAAAAGTAGTCATTGTGCAGATTGGTCCATTTCAGAATAATATATATGATATGTTTTATAATGATTGATCATTAAAGTGTTCTCAAAGCTAGTAAAGGTGCAGCTAGTTTGAAGGACTTTGTATACTGCAGGGTAGCTTGTGAATTTACTAAAGTCTGAGTTAACACTTGATTATATTTCACATCATTCATCCACATCTGTAAAGTAACTAAAGGTATTAAATACATGTAGTGGAGTAGAAGTACACAGTAGCAAAACATTTAAATACTCCAGTAAAGTACAAGTACCTCAACATTTTACTCAAGTACAGTACAATATTTTAACATAATTATATATATATTTCATTTATTTCACATTTAAATAAAGCAATTAATTCGGTTAACAATTTGTTACAATTTGTTTTTTCCTTTAAAAAATAACAAAAAGTAAATACAAGAATACCGTTAAAGTACCGGATCGATAAGCAGTATTGATAAGACTAGTAGTACCGTAGAAAACCTTAACGATACCCATCCCTAGATATTACACAAGTAAAGTGTTAAGAGAGTGAAATGTTGCTTTACGAATTTCAACACTTGATGCTGTCACCTTGATTACAATGTCAGATACCTGTATTTGCCTAACTGAATTGGTTTAAAGAGAAAACATTTTGACTAAAAGTTGACTAAAATGTAATTTTTCATCGACTAAAAGTAGACTAAAACGTTTTGAGTTTTCGTCGACTAAAACTAGACTAAAACGTTTTGAGTTTTCGTCGACTAAAACTAGACTAAAACTATGAAGGATAGAAATGACTAAAATGTGACTAAAACTAATAACCATTGTCGTCTAAAGACTAAGACTAAGACTAAATCAAAAACAGCTGCCAAAATTAACACTGATCCGCACCCCCTCTGCTTCACGTGTTTGGGGCCCGACCACGCGATGAACGGTATGGGCTCGACGCCGGCGTGCTCGGCCTGCCAGGCGATCCCGCGGCGCACGAGGGAGCATCGTGGGCAGCACTTCCTGGAGAAGATTGCCCCGCAGGAGGAGTCGGAGGAGCTGGATCTCGACGTCGTGGACATGGGCGATTCGGGAAGCGAGGGGACATCGTTCCGGTTCTCCCTGCCGTGGGGCCAGACGGCCCCGGTTCCGATGATCGACGACGAGGACGCCTCGCTATCCGGAGGTCCAACTCTCAGCTCTGTGCGGATGGATTTCCCAGCGGTGATGACTCTGGCGGCGGAGCATGTAGGTTTACCGCTCCCCCATGACATGGCAGCAGCCATTTAAAACGAAGGCCCCGATAATCTTGGCGTGTTGGCGTCTTCCTGATCACCCTCAGGCAGACGCCCCCGCCCTCCCGTCTCAGGACGAGAGCGATTATTCGGACCACGCTGTTAGTCAGATGAGTAATCTGATTTATGGCGTGGCCACCGCAGCAGGGCGGATGATTTCCCTGGCCACAGTGGCGTCTCGTCACGTGTGGCCAGGGCTCACGGCCCTATCTAAAAAGGACCGAGAGATCTCCTCGGAGCCCCCGTGTCCACGGAGGGGCTCTTTGGGTCGGTCTCCTCGGTCACCCAGTCAGCCGCCTAGAGGAGGAGGCACAAACGACGGCTGGTGACCATTCCTCCCCCCCCCCTCAGTGGGGGCAACCTCCGGTTTTGGGGGTCTCCGGACCACCTCCGGAGGGGGTCTCCACTGGGACGGGTGACCTCCTACATCACAGTGTTCACGGACGCGTCCGGAACAGGATGGGGAGGGACCTGCCTGAAGAGAGCTATAGGTGGGCGCTGGGCTCTGACAGAGTTTCGATACAGCAACCTCCTAGAGCTACGGGCAGTAGTGTTAGTCCTCCGACATTTCATGCCCCTAATTCAGGGGAGACATGTAATGGTCAGGTGCGACAACAGCACCACAGTGGCTTATATCAACAGGCAGGGCGGAGTCCGCTCCGCCTCCTTGTTGACCACAGCGGAGGAGCTGTGGTTATGGGCCTCAGAGGTGGTGTTATCTCTGAGAGCCCTCCATGTCCCGGGACTGGAGAACAGAGGGGCCGACCTCAGGTCGAGGGGCGGCCCCCTGCCAGGCAAGTGCTTCACCCGGAGGTGGTGAAGCAGATCTGGGCCCAGTTCGGGAGAGCAGAAGTGGACCTGTTCGCCAGCCGGCGCAACAGCCACTGTGCCCTGTGGATCTCCATGGCCCTGAGCGACGACCCGCCCTTGGGGGTGGACGCGTTTGCACACTAGCCATGGCCAAGGAAGCTGCTATACGCCTTTCCACCGCTGCGTCTCATTCTCCCTCTCCTGGGGAGAGTGAGGCGAGAACGTCTGGCAGTCATTCTGGTAGCACCGAATCGCGTCGGGGCTCCGTGGTACTCAGAAATGACACAGATGAAGGTGGGCCAGCCCTGGGCGATCCCCCAGTTCTGGGGGGCAATGTCTCAAGGGGCAGGTGCAATCGGGGCGTTACCCACTCTGGGCCGTCCTCTTCAGGCTTGGCTCCTGAGAGGGACAGGCTGAGACAGGGTGGATTGTCTGACAGCGTTATTCAGTCTATCCAGGCAGCTAGAGCAGAATCCACCACAGCCTGTTACAGGCCAAAGTGGCTGAGATTCCAGCATTGGTGTGAGGAGCGGGGAATAGAGCCCCTATCTTGTGAGTTGGGCTCTATTTTATCCTTCTTACACTTACTGGTGGACAGAGGGCTGGCGCATTTCACAGTGAAAGTGTATGCAGCAGCCATCTCGTCCTGTCGTGAGGGTTTTTGGTGGCAGGTCAGCCTTTAATCAACCACTGATGTCGCGGTTTTTACAGGGGGTTAGGAGACTGCGCCCTGTAGTGCACGTCTCCACCCCGCAGTGGGACCTTCCCCTAGTGCTCGAGGCTCTGGCCTCGGGACCATTGAGCCTCTGGAGCTCTCCCCTCTGAAAGCATTGTCGTGGAAAACAGCTTTGC